GCAATAACTCAACAACGCCGTAACCGAATTTCAAAAACCAAACATGAAATGATATCAGAATTTAACGTAGCATCTGAATATGTAATGATATATAGGGCGTTCTATTTTAAAAAATGGAATTTTGGTCTTTAGCACCTATACCAAACACCCTGTATATTTAAAAATTATATCAAAATATAGCTCTCATGAACTCCATGTTCTGTGTATTTTATCCCCATATATATATATAATTCCATGAAAATCAAAAGATAAATAGATAAGTACTTTCTGATCATTTCCATATTGATTTTAATTCAAGCTGACACACAATTTGACTTGGGTGTCACACCAATAGGTGGTTCCACTTATGTTTCACTTGCATTTACGCAGTTATTTTTATCAAGTACTTTTCTAGTTTTTCACAGAGCTATCTCGGTCAACTTTGCGGTGGACTTTTTTATGTTTTCGTCGGTAACAGCCAAGTCTTAGCTTCAACACTATTATTTTTGCCAAAAAGCAATGCTTTATCAACACACAAAATTCCTTATTATCCATTTTGTTCAAACCCACAACAGTTGATTCACTCAAAATGCTCTATCCCACAAATTAATAGTCCGGCAGCTGTAAATTTGTACACGTGTCTCTTGAAGGTTAAGTCGATCAGAAATTCATATAAATTCAATACCAGTGGAGCCATCTGTGTGTTAGCCTACGAACATTTCAGTCCACCTAATATACTATTCGGTAAAAAATAATTTCCACTGAATACTACTGTTGAGCATATAATGAGCGAAATATAAATGCCATCAAATGTATTGGCGGCTTAGTGGTTTTGAGTGGAATTCAATTTCTCCAATATGAGAAATTTCGTAACAGAATATTCTGAAATACTCTCGTATGAAAAATTCCCTGATCTTGGAGTTGGGAATGCCGTCCACTGTCACTCAAATTCAGCTAGCACCTGTTGCACAGCTGATAAATTCCCCGGGCTCTCATCGGTCTATTGTTAAATTTTCCTTCACAAAATTCATGGGAAACGACCTGAAATTATTTTCCACGGATAGCTTCTGTTTGTGGTGAATCTGTAACAATAATTTCTCGAAAGCAATTCAATATGGCGATGTTCGTATTAGTGAAATAGTACTCAAAAATTATAACGTGCCAAGAGTGCCAAGAGGCCAGTGAGCTGGTTTTCAGCAGAAATCCTAATTATATCGATAGTAATAACTGGAAACGACTATATCATAATGATATTGTCAAATATGGAAAATAATCATGAAATAATTCAAATTCATTCAAGCGAATACATAAATTCAAAGATGTTCCAACCTCAACTTCAATATTCTAAAACAAAAACACTCAGTATTCAAAATTCTATCCTTTAATATTCCAAGTTCATATACATCAAAATTGATACGATCACAGGATATAGAAATATAAAACAATCTCCAAATACGCAAACTTTGCACAGGTTGCATACTTAGCATCATACCTCAGTACAGTAGCCGGATAAAAGTTGAATTGTCAGCGTATAAATTTTCATAAATATTGAGGGAGGTCAAGATCATAAACAAACAGTATTGAGAAATTTGTTCAGTATTTATTGATCTTCAGAAAAGGTTCCAGCAATGCAGCATATCTCCTTTGCTTCGATCCTGCTGGGTGGCAGTATAATGTGAGTTTTTGGTGATTTATTTTATTTTTTTCATAAGTCAGTGGGCTATGTTCGAAGATAAGCAGTAAACAAATCTGAAGAAATGAACCTTAAATGTTCAAGCCCGTCTCGGATTCACCTACACAGTAGGCTGAATGGACTGACGCATATCCGCAAATGCATTCCTTATTCACAGGAATCGGGTAAATGTTGGATATGCAGTTGGTTAGTACCTTGTCCACTAGATGGAGTGATATTTTTTATGTTCGCTCCAACTACTTAAGACGAGGAATGAAATACTCTGAGAGAATTTCGATTTTCAATTATGGAATATCTTCGACCCAAAATGTTAGTGATGTCTTGGATAATCGTGGTCAAGTTGATATGATATATACTGATTCTGCTAAAGCATTTGATCGACTTGATCACATGATCCAGTACTTTTCATTAAATCCTACTTACTTCAACGCGAACAGTTTGTATCTTATAACGGCTATGATTCTTTTAATTACAATCCTTCATCTGGAGTACCTCAGGGGTCGAATCTCGGACCACTTCTGTTTTTATTATTTATTAATGACCTCAGTAATTATGTCGATTGTTATAAGTTATTTTTTGCAAATGATTTGAAAATATATTTATCTGTCGAAACTATCAAAGACTGTGATAAATTGCCACGACAGTTAGAAAATATACAGACTTGGTGTAAAGTAAACAAACTATATCTCAATGCATCCAAATGTAAAGTAGTGTCTTATAGTAGGAAAATGTCAGTCATCGAGTACAATTATCGAGTAGATACCATTTCACTGTCACAAAGTAACTCAATATATTGGTGTATATTGTGATCAAAATGTGTCTTTTTCCAACCACATTAGATCGAAAGTAAGTGAAGCATTGAGAATTTATGGCTTCATAGTTCGCAATTGTAGATCTTTTATAAACATATCTGCTCTATTGACACTTCATGTAGCCTACGTAAGATCAAAATTAGAATATGGCTCTGTTCTATGGTCTCCATTCTATAATTGCTATAATACATCAATTGAAAAAGTTCAACGCCTTGAATTACGCAGAAAACTTGCTGGAATAATTTTTCTGTATAAACTTCTGTACTGTAGAAATACAAAAAACTTTTTACAGCTGACTGGCCAGAACCAATTTGTATCTCAAGTCACCTATCTTCAGCATTTGCAATAATTTCAATTTAATTTCAAATTTGTGTGATATCAGTTTTGATTCCCTAGAATATATTATTGACACTGCATCTCAGTATTTCATGGAGAAGTTACGACTGGCCAGAACCAATTTATATCTCAAGTCATCTATCTTTAGCATTTGCAATCATTTCAATTTAATTTCAAATTTGTGTGATATCAATTTTGATTCCCTAGAATATATTATTGACACTGCATCTCAGTATTTCATGGAGCTGATTAACGGAAAAACAGAATTAAAAACAGATTTTTTAAACAGATTATATTATAATATTCATTCATTTTCTCAAATTGTAACTTGGTAATTATAAGGATCGATATTTACTTTTTTTAACATACTTAGTTAACCATGTAAATGGTTTTCAACTGTTGGGTAATGAAGGCTATTATTATTATCATTATTATTCAGGTCGATGATGGTCACTATCTTGCACTGACGAGTGGCTAAGGAGCTCGAAACCAGTCTGCAAGTGTACTCGTTCCAAAATTGAAGTTCAACTCTTTCAGTTGTATTGCCAATGGCATATGCAGGAAATGTTCTGTGAAGATTTCTGCTCTGACGCCTGTCGGATATAATCAACGCAGTTCGTAGTATTAGCCAGTAGAGTAGTTGTTTTTTGATAGGTGTCAGTCCATTCAAACTACTGTGTAGGTAAATCCGAGACGGGCTTGTACATTTAAGGTTCATTTCTTTAGATTTATTGTATTTTTCATTCACATTTTAGAGTAACTTTATTCCTGAAGTATTCTCCCCGTTTCCATACAATAAATATTCAATTGATGAATGAATGATGGATGAATGATGAATGGGTGAAACAGCGAATAAAATCATCTCGTTAACAAGCCAAGCGAGTACTAAGTTGCGACAATGTCATTTGCGATGTCTATTAATGAGAATGGAAACTATGACGGAACATTCAATGTGAACAGGATGCTCTTATATAGGTTAATACCTAACTGGCATATAAAATTTTTATGAGGAATTACTGCATATTTTTCTCAGTTTTCAGAGAATTATGGAAAAAGTTCATTTCACCAGAACCCATTTAGTCACCACACGCGCAACCTTCCCGATCAAACCCTTGAAGACACTTATTTACCTTGGTCAATTCGTTCTTTTACCCATTCCGAAATATTTAGACAAGATAGATTTCCCAGTTTCTACTCGCATATCAATCACGGAATGAATACTCATCCGTCGATCGACAATCGATATATTTGGTGATTGTTGTTGAAAACACAAGCTGTAATAAATTATCGTTACTTAACCCTATCATCGAACTGAACGAATCTTCAGCAAGAAGATCCACCAACGGGTTTTTACTTTATCTAACTT